GAGCCCTGGCCCAGGCTGCCCAGGGAGGCTGTGGAGTCTCCTTCTCTGGAGATATTCCAGCCCCGCCTGGCCGCGGTGCTGTGCAGCCTGCTCTGGGTGACCCTGCTTGGGCAGGGGGTTGGGCTGGGTGACCCACAGAGGTCCCTTCCAACCCTGAACGTTCTGTGATTCTGTGAACACGAAACGCCTTTGCCAGCGTGACCAGTTCAGAGAGGGGCTTGATGCCAACTGCATATGGAAGTCTGGAGCAGAGGGCAGAAGCGCATGTCCTGGGTCTCCTGGCCGTGTAACAGCTCAGTCTGGATCAGACTGACGGACTCTGCCTGCTCCCCAGGGCTTCAGGCGAGGTTCTGATGTCCTCTGTGCCGCAGGCAGGGTCTGTGGCCCTGCTCCTGCCTGCGAGGAAGCTGCGCCGGTGCAGCGAGCCCGTGTTCAGGCAGATGTTCTCTTGCTGCAGCGTGCTGGAGCCCGGCAGGACGCTGCTGCTACTCCGGGGTTGCTGTGGGGCTCAGCATCCCGCGTTCCTCTGGGTGAACCCCGCTCTCTCCCGGCCCCGGGGGGCTCGCTGGGGTGGAGGTGGGGAGCTCCTCTGTGGCCCAAGGCCTGGAGCGCAGTTTGAAGCATTTCCTGGCTGGTTGTTCTCAGGGTGAAGGTTCTTACAACTAGTTGGGACAGGCCCGAATGTGCAGGGTTGGCTGGAGTGAGGCAGCAGCATCTTGTTTTTGCGGGGGGCGGGCGGGCCTGAGCCCTGGCGACCGGGAGCCAGGAGCCCGTGGGTCTGTTCCAGCTGCTGCCCGCGAGGATGACCTGGAAGGGGGAAAGTCGGCTTGTGACCCTCTTTACCTGGAGAGACAAAAATATTTTCTTTCTGCTTCTTGCTAACGTACCCAGAGACTCTTGTCCTGAGCAGATGAGAGAATGGTGGTTTTTGTCTTACTGCTGGATTTGCAGTCTTCCTGCTTAAAAGTCTGGGCTGAGTTTTTCTTAATGTCTGTAGTAGCAACGCTGTTGTTGCGGAACAGCAACGAAGGGTAATACTGGAAGAAGGAAGTCTTTGATAATAAGGATTTACCATTTTCTCCCCTTTCCCAGCTGTTGTGTTGAGGTCTGAAAACTCATCACACGTGACCTCCCAGGATACGGCGTGTGCCCTGCTGCACGCCCAGGCAGGGAACTGCTGTTCCTGGTATTGCTCAGGGAGAGAACACGCAGCAAGAGGCTCGCCCAGGCTGCCGTTATCTACCACAAACAAGCAGATTTCTTTACATACATCCTGTACCTTCTCCTGGGCCGGTTAGCAGCTCTCTGACTCAAGCATGGCGTTTGCCTGCGCTCCCAGGAGGGATTCGCTGTTTGCAGTCACCAGTGGATTGTAATTCTTTGAATTAATGGCTGCCTAAAAATACCCAAAGCAGCACTAAAAGGTCACTCTAAAAATAGGTTTTAAAAGTGACCTAAGGAAAGTCAGGAATGCACGGGAAGTTTGTTGCTGGGGTCCCGCCGTTGCGGGGAAGGCTGGAGCAGCTGAGCTCTGCTCCGAGTGTTCCCCCTCGGCCCGCTGTGCCCGGCGCTTCCCGGGGACGGATGGGGCTGAGGAGCGTTCGGCGTTGGCCGAGGTATCCTGAGAGCCAACGATCTTGCTGTAAATAGAGTGCCTGCGCCTGCCTGCTCATCTGCCGGAGAGAGGAAAGAGGTTACAATGGCTGAAAATTGTTATAATTATGACATAATTTGGACATCTGGAGAGTTTCAGTGTAAGCAGAATTTCGGCATGTGGAAGCTCATTACTGGGAAGTTGGGTAATGAATTACGGGCCCGTTTGTCACATAAAGCCGGCTAACTGGATTCCATCCGCTCTTACACAATTAAACTTTTATGGGGCTCGGGAACAGTACTCGCGGGCTGCGTGCAGCCGGTGCTGGGTTTTCAAGGGTTTGCTTGCCAGTAACTGTACAACCTGTCCTGATCATTCAAGCCTTAAATTGCTTCAAGGATTCTCCTGTTTCTGAGCGAATACCATGAAGCAAAAGGGCTTTGTCCAATTGTGTGGATCAAGCCAAAGACAGAGTAGAATTCATCCAGCCGAAGACGTCGGCTAATGTTATTTGTAAAGCACGGGGTGAAAGCTCAGGAGTGTGAAAGCACGGTGCCAGCACGGAGCAGAAGCTGGACGCGATGGCAGCGTTCGCTGAGCGCTTCCATGGAGCGTCACCATGGCAGAAGGTCGGAGACAAGCCCGAAAACCTGGCACGCGGCTGCGTGGGCCTCTGTAGGCAGCAGTGTGGTGCTGGGTGGGGTCCCACCAGCCGGGCTGAGCAGCAGCACCCCAGCCCCGGGGCGTGCAGCCGGGCAGGGAGATGGGGGATGAGGGCTCTGTCGGCTTGGAGCAGTGGGGCTGGAGACCATGGCCGGTCGGCTGCAGGGTGCGTCCGCAAACCCCACGGGTCCAGAACTCTGTGGCTGTGGCGAGGAGCGGTCAGCTGGGCTTGGTGAAGTGGGTGTCCGCAGCCCTGGGGCGCAGGGGACCGGGGGCGGGGGGGGCAGGGGGAG